CAGAATGCACATGCGTTTGTGTTGTTTACGCTAAAACGATCAAATACTTGTTTGTATTAGTATCTTTACCTTTTTTGTTTCGCGAAATTAAGCGCTACATTGTACGCGAGATATCACGCCAATCCTAATTGCTCTTCCCTGTTTGTACCACGTCTTGGAAATCACCTTACACTTTGGGTGTGTGTATGTGATGAGATTGAACATCAGCTAGACCTTAAATTGTGTGATTCGTGGTGCACAATCTAGACAGAAAGGAAACCCAAGTAAGTTTAGAATAGAACGNTGTAGTAATGGTTCAAACTCGTTTGACGTTGGCTACACATCATCATCCGCAATGGAATCATTGTAGTGATTTGAACTTCATTGATCGCTGACAAACTCATAAAGTATACAATGTAGCTGAGAACGTTTCAGGTGGACAGGAATTGCGCCTAGTTTAAAGAAGGGAGAAAGCCGATCTCTATGGTCAATATACAGAATACAATGTTCAACTATGTATACACATTTCAAGAACGCCAGTACTGTCCGTTCTCTGCTATGATCCTCAATGTTTCCAATCAATCAGTTACGGAGTATTTCAGACCCCAGCCCGGAAGACAGGAGACACCTACTCTACCCAATATCTCTGTCTATTTCTTCTCCACGTCATCTTCTGACCCCCCATATGGCTTCTTCCAACCCGAAGAGGCTACATCGAATAGGGTGTGGTGCTTTACGCTTCGGTTAGACGTACGCAGAATGTCCTAGCCAGCAAAGTCGGCTGAGCGGCATTGGAAACGACAGCGAATTCTTCCTCGACACGATCTCAAACTTACGACGATTTTCATCTGGGCTTCTAACTCGTTCATTCGATCCCGCCTGGACGAGACTAGGTAATTATTTATTGTCGGAAACCTCTAGGCGACGAATGTTTTCCACCCACAAATCCAAGGCCACACAATTATAAAGCGAAGCGGATCGCACAGTTTCAGTTTCAGTTTTCAAAACCATTAACCATGCACTTTCGTGCGCGGGTTTTGGTTGCTGTCTTTGGTTGCCCATTTGGATAAAAGAGCGAAGTGAAGATTGGAATGTCGAAGCAAATTCAAGCGGAAGATGGAGAATACATATAGAGTAGTGTTAGGAAAGTAACGAGTGGATGCACGAGCGCCACTGTTTGCGATACCCAGCCATATCACTCAGTGTAGCTAACCATCGGTGACCATCATTCCGAGGTCCCCAGCCAGGGAGCCTAACGGGGCCTACGTGACCTAGTCTCCTGGTTAGGGTTTTCATACCCTCATGCCAGGTCTTAGCTTGACCGCCCTTCGTTTTTTCCAATCGCTACCAGCCTTGGCAAACATCGTTCGCACAGCGCCGCAGCATACGCGAATTTTCAACTTCGCCACAGATGCATCATCCCTGCGGACGCTGTTCGAGTCTTAGAAATGTGTGCGGTCAGCTCCTTTGCATGAGCTACCTACCTTCATTCATCTTGCAACTAACCATGTACGAAAGGCAACGCGAAGATGTGGTCAATAAAACCACGACCTAGTCGAAATCCTGCCTGTTAGTCACGGATATTTGTTTCAATGAAGGGCGTCAGACGTTGAAGTATTGTGGAGGCTAATACGCTGAGGAAGACTGAAATCACACGTATCTCACGGTGGTTCAGCCATTGCCAGATCGCTTTTTGAAAACGGGAGCGATCAGTGATTTATTACTGACTCCCCGGTAAGCTCGAAAAAAACCACAATCCTGGAATGTTAAACACTAGTGATGGATTGAATCAAATAAAAACTTCTAAACGTATAATCACCTCGAAAATAACGGTGGAATAGGACAAGCTTACATCGAGTTGATACACCTCAGTTTGAAAGCCTGTTTGACCTTCGGCTATTCGAACCATTTATGTTGTTTACGCTCAACTGCTCCGCAAAATTTATCCATAACAAGCTGTAATGAATGATTCCAGAAATCGTAGCTTGTGGTTTTGAGGTGACCACTGCACGCAAAGGACGCCAAATTCAACTCCTACGGTGCTACTGAAGTCTTGATTAAATTGCACGCGTCCGAACTCGGAAAAAAAACTGGAGAGTCAGGGGGGTAGGAAAGATATTCGGTAACGATTGTATGGCCCGTATCTGCAAAAAACGATCTACTTTCTCCGCGTAAGGCAGTCAAATAGTGGGAGAGAAAAAATGGACTTTTTGATTGGTGCCTTAGTTTAAGCTATACGTTGCCCCCTCCCCTCCCACCCCTCGTTTGATTGGGGAGCATGAGACCCACCAAATGCATGGTCAGAGGCAAGGCGGTACATGTACATCTCATCCGGCTCGTCAGACACTGACTGAATTTCATTCTTTTACTAATTTAACACCCGGTCTAGGTTTGCGGAGATCGCTATTCCGCCCCGCCCGCCCCCTCTCCTCTTTTTCCGAAAGGAGCACAAAACCTCGCGAGCGAGAACCAGAACGTTTTTGGTTCGTGCGATCGTGTGTGCATCCAAGGTGTGTCCGATCCCGACAGATGACTGGAACGCATTTCCCAGTGTGAAATGTGTGCGAAAAACACAATCTGAAAGCTTTGAGTTCCAAGCACTGACACAACCGATCGGTTGCATTGTCTATCACTGTGTCGGCTCAAGGAAGGATACGGAGTCAAAACAAGTCCGATTGTAACTGTTCATCTTTTCGGATTCTTTTTCATTGAGAACTGGTGATTCACTGGTGGTATGGAGGGAGGGAGGGAGGGAGGTAGGTAGGATAGTTCGACCGGTGTGTATGATCCGCGATCCGATCAAAGTGCCGGACAGAAGCAGATAAAAAATACCAAACATTACCGGTAGAGATGATCAGACAAGCGGACTGACGGGGAACGGGGGGAGAGGAACAGTCCAAGGAAATGTGTAGAAACCGAGGAGCCGAGTGAGTAGAAAAACAAAAACAACAACGCCGTATGAAAAAGAGTGTGGCAGGCAGATAAACGGGACGATGAGTAGTAGACAGTCAGAGATGGACAGACTGACAGAGAGACAAACAGGCAAAGCGCGCGCGCGCGCGCGCGCACGCACACACACACATACTGAGTCACAGACGGAAGGACAGGACATCGGGGGGAGGGGAAGTGAGACAGACAGGTGAACAGACTGAAATGATTTGTATGAAAAGAAACAAGTCAAAAAAACAAAACAAAAAATAGCGAAAATTGGCTGTGTGTGTGTGTGTGTTCGCCCGCACCATCGACGATGACGGGATCAGGAAAAAAACAAAGGTGATACAAAGAAGGCATGACATGATCGTTTCAATGCTGGCGCTATGCATTTGTGGTGAGGCGGATCTCGGTGTGCTCCCATTTATACGAACGAGAGATACGGAAATGGAAGGTGAGATGAGAGGGGCGTGGGGGGATGGGGTGGGCGCGAGGAGGGAGGACATGTCAACCGGGAGATTAACGCCGAAATGTGTGTGTGTGTGTGTGTGTGTGTGTGTGTGTGTGTGTGTGTGTGTGGTACGATTGCGCAAAAGTGG